GAGATACCGTAATAAAAGGAAGATAGGAGTTTGCCGCTAGGTATTTGACCAAATGGGATCGTCCAGTTCCTACAGAACCTATCACTAAAATCCCGCTAGAGGGGTATAAGTGGCGGAGCGTAAAGGGTGTTTCGTGAGGATTAGTCCCACACCAAGTTTGTGAATCAGTGATTGCCTGATAATGAGCAAGGAATACCCGTCTTTCTGCTAAAGAGGATGTATTGAACTCATAATTCAATAGATACTTGTTCTGAATGTCAACTAAGTATCGTAAGTAAATTGCTCCCGATTGTTCAATCAGTTGATAACCAGAGTCGTTTTTTGATAAATGATCACTATGCTGAGTCAGACTCAATAGAATTTGATCAATCCTTTTTTCTGTACTTAAACTTAAGGTGGAGAACTGAACCAAGAATGATTTTTCGTCATCAAAAATAAAGTCAGTGGTCGCGGCCCAGGATTGTATTTTATTATCAATCCAATCCCCATTCACGTTTTTTCTTCTTCTTATCAATGAATAGATCTCTTTACTTGTATGAGATATATGTATCGAATTTATCCAAAAAGCGATTCCATTGATGGGCCTTGAGATGATATCGATGAGAATATCCAAATAGATCGCCAACGCCAAATAGGTATTATTCCAATGAAAATCTATGAAATTGAATATAGTTTCTGTTATTATCTCTAGCCAGTCCTCTAAGTCTGACTCATTGTCGTCAGAAAGTGGAACTATAGTGAAACTTTTGAACACCTCGAAATAATACGGTGTGGGTGGAGGAGGATACATATCCCAAAGTTGTCGCACCTCAATGATAGTTGATGGGCTCATCAAAAATTTGACCCTTTCGAACCCTGTCTGTAACTTACTAAAGGCCCAGGAAACAAAGAGAAGATGTGTAGAAACGAGATATCCAGCAACAAGAAGAAGGAAAAGGATTAAATAGAGGAACTCCCGAACACTTGGCGATCTCAGACGTATCCATGGTGACTCATTATTTCGATGCATCATTTCTTCGGACAGACAAAAAGAAAAATGAAGCTTACTCGAAATCCCACTTATCTGATTCCATAGTGCACGACGACAGTATTTCCGAACAATTTGCCATGATCTACCTGCTCCATACCAAATATTACGAAAAATAGATAAAAATTTTTCATTTAGACTTAGTATTTGATTTAGAACTAGTCTCAGTTCCGGGAATATTTCGAATCCTTCTGAAAAAGTCTCTGCACATACCCCCTTTAGGT